CCAGACCCGCTCAGAACGTTCCAAAAGGGAAAATCAAAAGCCAAAGGAATAGAAAGGAAGAAAATTAGGCAACAGGAATGGGAACAGGGTTTTTTAAGGGTTTTATTTTTAAAATTGGGCCATCCCTTTTAGTTTGGCTTGGAAAGGTATAAATAAAAAAACCCGGAAAAACACTGGCCCAAAGTTGCTCAACCCTTTTTTCCCCCTTGGGAAAAAAAAATGAAACCCCATAAATGACTGGTCCAAAACATCCAGGCATTAAAGCCTTCCATCTCATATTAGAAAAAATTTTGAGAGTAAATTCTGAAAAAGAAAAGTTGAAAAATGATTTTAAATTTTTTTGAGCCAAAAAAATTGGGTGAAGTGATTGCCCCTTTACCGAGTAAGAATTAGATTTAAACATTAACCCAAAAAGGGGGGGTCAACTGCTCCGGAGGGGGAATGGTGTAAAACCCATGGGTATTCTCAGAACTCTAAGGCACGTGCCCTGTTTAAACCCCTTTTTTGGCACGGGATTTAAACTCAATTACATTGAGGGCCCTTTTCCTACTTCCTGGACCAATAGTCTCATAGTGCCTATCCCTAAGCCCCAAAAGCCTGATACATTTAGGCCGGTTTCCCTTTAAATAGTTGTTTTTTTGTAAAACTTTTTAAAAAGAAAAAGAAACTTAACAGACCGTTTCACAGAATCAGCATCAAATTTCCCCCCCCACCACAAAGGGGTTTATGAAAGGTAAAAGTGTGCAGAAACTGTATTTCCAAACCTTTTTTACCCGCAACCCCCCTTTCTTTTTTTTAACCCCTTTTCCCTTTTTTTTAAAATTTGCATTTGATATTGGGAAAAGAACCCTTTAAATACAATTTTCTTGCCAAAATGAAAAATTGGTGGTAGCTTACCCCTTCTGGAAAATAGGAAAATCCCGTAAATAGAGTTCCCCCCCCGTCCTTTACCAAGGGCTTTAGAAGTGATTCTAAAGAAATGTCTTTTGGTAAAACCGCAGGGAGGAGTTCTTAGTCCCATACTATTTAAAAATTTTGATTAATGCTCTTTCCCAAATGCCCCCTACCTGCCTCACCCCAAACATATACTAAAGCAATGCTGATGATATCATGATCCATACAACAAGGGGGATAGAAGATGAATCCATTCCTTTAAAGAAGTTCCAAACAATTTGTAATCGACTAGGCCTCATAATATCTTCCTCAAAAAAAAAGATTTTAAAAAGCCCAAAAGGGCATTTCCCCCACCCATCTATTTGCAGGGTGAAAATCCCTTTCTACGTTAAAAAATTTCAGGGTATCTTTGGGGTAGGGTGTACCCCCTTTAAAAAAATCCCCAAAACCACAAATAAAAAAGAAATGTAAAGCTAGGTTAAATTCCCCTTTAAAGCTGTTGTGGCTTCAAAACCCAACTTTTGGTGCTAATGTGAGAACGTTTAAAAATGATGTTTCATTGCCCTTTTTTTGTCCTTAATTTATTTTGCAAATCCCATGTTGATATTTGCTAAAAAAGTTCTCTCCGACCCTTGGAGTTAAAAGCCAAAAAAAAAACTCTCAATTTTTTCTTTGGGGTGTTCCGATCTTTCAAAAGGGTTTTTAACCCTGAGGAAGGAGCTTGGGTTTTTAGTATCATGAAAGGATTGTTTTAAATTTAAAACTGTACTCCGGTATTAAAAATGTTGGGAAAAAACGAACCAGACACTGTCCAAATGAAAAACCCAAACCAAAATGTCCCAGAGGGGAAATACACACAGATCTAAATGGAATTTTTTTGAAAAAAGTGCAATTGCAAAAAAAATTTTATTTAAACCCACAGAACTGTATTATTTTAGGGGAACAAGGCATTTTACCCCTGCATGGAAGATGTTTCATTTAAAATACATACCTCAAGTTCCCCCCCAAAAAGCTCATTTGCTAGTAAAAAACCCTTCCTTAAATCTCTTGTTTTGAGCAACCCGCCTTTTAAGAAGAAAAATTTCTCACCTAGCTGGTTTGTAATAATTTTTCACAAGTTATATACACGGGGGTAGATTTTAAAACAGGGGGTCTTCTTGGGCAGGGCCCGCTCTGCTCTTTTTCCCTCCCCAGTTTAAAAACGGGAAAAATAAATTTTGGGTTTTAGGGGGTTGGGGGATAAGAAATTTAACCCCAAGGGGGGCGTCTAAAACTGCAAACTGAATTGTTTTGCAATCCTAATGGCCTAAAGCTAACCAAAACACTGAGCTTGACTCTGTCATCATTACTGGGTTCTAAAGTCTAAATTTAAGGCTCTTTTACTCATAAAATGGGTCCCAAAAACATGGGCCCTTGGGGGAAACCCCGGTATAGATACCCCAAAAAAATTTGGGACAAAGGAAATTTTAAATTTCAAATTTCAAAGGAACCCATCACACATTGGATTTTTCCCCTTTATGAAAAGTTTTATATGTTAGCCCAAAGAAAGTTACCCAGAAGGAGGGAAAGTAGAAAAAATTTTAAATTTTTTGGGATAACTGTGTCTAGCATTAAAATAATATTAGAGAGAAATAAAAGAAAAGATTGTTAAGGGAAAGCCCGGGTTTGAAAAGCTGAGTTTGATCTAAAAACCCACTTGATAAAATGAAAAGTTTAAAAAATTTTGTTTAAAGGGGCCCCCTTTGGGAATGTGAACAGACTGACTGATGTTGTAGTGGGCCCGGGTTAAGCTTGGTACAAGTACCCTTTTGGCAGTTTGGGAGACACACAGATGATGATCCCAAAATTAAAAGTAAATTAATTTTTCAGGCATTTTTGGGCATCCCCTTGAACACTTTGCTTAATTGTTCCCCTTATTTGGGGGTACAAGGGCAGACGTTAAATAAAAATATGGGACATGTAAAAATATCTTTTTAAGAAAATAAAATACCCCCGAAAATTTTCCCAAGCAAATTTCCTAAATTTGGGTTTAAAAAATAAATGAACATGAATTTTTAGTATTCCCAATGTATTCCTTTTAAACCCTTTGGGGGGCCCCTGGGGGAGGGGAAAGGGCCCCCTTTTTGGTCCTTGGGGGGCTGGCGGTAACCCCCGTTAAGGGTGGGAAAGGGGTCACAAAAAACTACCCCTTTTTTTGGGATAAAATCGCTTAAAAAAATAAATCAGGTTCGGATTTAAATAAACCAACGGGATACCAAAATTTGGGTTTGGGGGGCTTTCCCCCTTTTCGGTGTAATTTTAAAATTTTGGCCCCCTTTTTGGGACCTTTTAAAAAAAATTTAGTTTAAAAGAGGGGGGGAAAACCCGGGGGCTGAGCGGTTTTTAACCTTTGGGCCTCAAGGTTTGCACAAAACCCGGGTTTAAATAAATCGGGTTTTCCCGTTAAAAAAGTTGTAACAAAATTTTATTGCTGTGGCCTTCCAAAAAAAACGGGTAAGAACCCCAAACCCTAGATTAATTGACTTCTTGCGATTTCTGTTCGCACGTCATAACTAAAGTTTTATATTTTGTTACGTTGGTTAATCTTTTGAAAGACACTAGCCTACATGAACCTATGCTATATTGCTTGAGACTTCCTGGAAAGTGAGAATCCCCAATTTAAGATGATGGGTTGGAATGAACATCTTTCCTACTGTCGATAATTAAAAGATCGACTGGGTATTAAGTTGTATATATAAAAAAAATAAGAAAAAAAAAAACACACAAAAAAAAGCTACTAGGATATCAGTTCTCAACTGCAATCACTCAACTGTAATCTGACGTAGTTACAATTTTTACTAAACCTGGAGAATGAGAGGTTCATTATTTTTGGGGAACTTCGTGTTTTATTAAGTTTTTGCTAGGAGCGCTCGTTCATTACCTCTTGCTATTTAATATTCTGGCTATGGTAATGTAAAGCTATAAAATTGTTTAATAAGTCTAGGTATGTTGTTGAAATAAGGACAAGATGGAAAAGTAGATACGAATGGAGTATACAGCATTCCTTTGACAGCTACGCCCACAGCAAGATTAAGTAGAAAATATATGGGGAGTGTAGTGACGGGAAGGGCCAGGTGAGGAATGTTTAAAGTTGATTAATAGAGAGGCTGATTTTGAGAAAAACCCTCCTGGCATGGGTCAAAGGGTCATTTGCTCTGTAGGATAACGATAAAGTTTCTTGACAAGAAGTTCATCTGTTGTAAAAGCATTTCTGGTTGAAATTATTATATACAGATGAGCGATGATTCAAAGATTCTGCGTCCCTGGGTATCTTCCCTGACAAGGAGTCTTGAGTCTGTAGCTAAATCGTCGTAAGCGTATTGGTGTTCCGAAATTATTGCTTGGAAGTCTGGATGCTTCTCCCTTGTATCATTGGTTGCAATCGTGGAAAGGGATTGTATACCCTGTAGAGGATTGAACTTGTCCCTTACTGGTGATTTCTTTGTGGTCGATGTAGTGGTAGATACTTGGAATACAATATTGGAAGAGAAGTGTCTGGTAACAGAGTTAGTAAGGGGTATACAGTCAACTCGGCAATCAACTTGAACAATCCTCACCTGACCCTTAGTCACCATGCTTCCTACATATAATCCAGGTACTCTGCTCAAGTAATCTGTTGACTTGGGCGAGACTGTCAATAAAGGATAGAATATTATGGCATTTGTCTAAGTTTCCATAGTGTCAGTATTTTAAACTATTCTTCATCGTGTCCGACACTGCAGTATATATGGATCCTTCAAGAGAATTCCTGGACATCTTCCTAAAAGCTACTCCATGATAGTCACAATCACGATTGTGTGTGTCCAATTTTATAAGTGACTGTGCAACGAAGTAAGCTTCTGACACAAGTTTTGTTAATCTTCATGTAAATACTGTCTTAGTTCGGATTATATATAACTACTTGAAATTATTTATCGAACGCTCGTGCTTAATTTACCAGGAGCAGTGTTTGATAGTCTATCATGGTTAATTTGAATCTACTGTATATCAGCTTGGCAACGAAAAATTACTCGCGCACCTGGAAAAATATTTAAAATACGCAAACATTAATATATCCTGCATCCAAGGTGAGCTGGTGATTCGCGCTGACCTGCGAGCCAGCAATCTGAAGGCCAGCGTCACTAACCTGGACCTCCACAACCCACTGAAGATAGACGAGACAGAAGTTCAAGTTGTTACAGGTAATGCTAAATTTCTTTGGAAAATTCCCTGGCAGTTTATTGGTGGCGGAGAGTTTTGGATATCTGCATTGTAAGAAGCAATTACTTGTTTACAAAATATATAGCTGACGATAACATTTGCCCACGATAAAGGCTGGGAACTGTTATCTTAGTTCACTGAATGAAGTCTCTCCACGAGAAGGGCATCATCAGATGGGCGGCTTGTGGTGTCAGTCAACAAGGGTGGCCGGGAAGATCAATGGGGTAAGTGTACCTACAGAAGTGTTCCTGAGTCGGTCCGACTATTCCTACAGCGTCTCTTCAGCAGCCTTCACCAAACTCCACTCCGACGCCATACACATCAACACTGCTTTCCACACCATTACTGTAAGTATTTGTCACAATCAGAGCCGGAGGTGGAGGGAAAAATTGTCATTAAGGGTAGGTACGAGTTGAAATCAGTGGTTAATAGTGGTGATAGGATGAAGGGAAGTGGTGTTGGTTCTTGACACAGTAAGTAAGGCTAAGGACCTAGTCTCAAACTTGGTAGATAATCTCTCACGTTTAATTGCAGATTGTATCTTTGTGATCTTGTAGAATTTTATTCTATACCGAAAGCCCATTAAATGTTTGTTGTACATGCACATATGCTTCACAGGTGAGTAATGGCTACCTGGATGTGCTGAGAGTAACAGGAAGCCAGACAGTGACTGCCAAAAAAACGTTCACTTACATGCGTTTACTTCAAAGGCACACATTAGAGTTAACGTACAGCGGGCGCAGAAAATGTGATGTTAATATGACACAGATTTGCGGGTTCCTGGATGACCACGAACTGATAGAGGGAGAACACAGTCGAGAGGCGCTGCTGTGGAGCCTCAGGCGTGTGGCCGCTGCCCGAGATGTGCTGACATTCTTGGCTAATATACCACCAGGCAAGGTTACTCCTCTTCAACACAGCCTCTCCTTCTATACTAAACTAAGTGAAAATGTTCCTTGTGCCTTCTCTAGAGTAGATACAGACGAAGGCTTAATAACTTTTGATGTCAGCAATTTAGCCTGGAGAAAGGAAGAAGAGGCAGGTATAGAACTTCTAGAGAACAATATTAAAGCTATCATGAGCAACATTGAAAAATATAAGGAAGATAATTACAAAAGCCTTGCCAATAGTTCACTATCTTGGCATGACCTTTTTGTAATGTTTGATGAAGCAAGGACGGCAAACCATATAATAGATAAAAAGGATCTTATTGCTTTACGCACATTGATTCTTGTCAATAATAAACACAAGAACTTGGATCCTCAACTTGACAGTGAATACTGCAAGATGGTTTGCGCAGGGAAAAAAATGTCCCCACTCATTGCCACGAGTAACTGTCTACCAGGATTACTGCACACTAACAATGTATTGAAGCGAATAAATATGTATGCAGTTATTGTAAGCAATCTGACACGGCTCTCGAGCAATCAACGGCAGGTGTTGGAAGCCGTGGTGGTGGAAGGTGGTGTAAAGAAACTCCTGGAGATGGTAAGAAGAGACTTGCAGCTTGGTGAAGAAATAAGAGTAGCAAGTGTGTGCGGGACTGAAGCAGATAGTGTAGAAGTCTATGAGGATATAGCAAGGATGTTGGAGTCTTATGAGCGAGAACTCAAGGAAGCTGCGAGGACTGGCACGAGGAAGAAGAGAGAGACTACAGTAACTAGTAAGACTGCTGACCTGCCTTTTGTGCACCTTTGTTTTATAATTTTAGGAAACAAAATTTGCTGTGTAAGACTATACAAAACTTTACGTTAATCCTTTAGAATAGATATATTTTAAGTAATGTATTTTTTCCAAACTACAGTTTCAAAAGGATAAGGAAGGCAAGTGCAGTCAAATTGAGATTGCTGCTTTAGTTTTAACTAAAACAGTAGATAGAATGATAACATTTATAACAGGCTAGTATAGGCTTTAAGTAATTAGGATAAAAGGCTGAAGCTTCAGTTAGATCTTCGTACACTAGTTTAGCTAGCATGCACTAGTCTACAGATGTTGCTAGATTACGTGATCCCTGTGCAAGAATGTGACCCACAAAGGCACTTTTTACAATTACTAGTGATTAAAGGGAATAAATATAACCTGTGGAAAATACTGTATATTTTCTGGAAAAAACGGTAATTTATATGTAAATAGATGGCCTATATTGTATTTAATAAAATTTATGTTATCGAAAACGGGAAAAAACCCGGCGCCTGCGCAGTAGCAGAGTGGCCATTGTTTGTTTTGAATTTTGGATTAGAAACGTTGGTGAATGGGGAAGAATTTTTTGTGCTCTAGAGTTTAAAATTGGGTTGACACCTCTCAAATAGGAGGCGAAATTGTTGGATGTGCATTCCTGCATAACTTGAGATATCAGACGACTGGACAAGGCCTCTCCAGGAACCTCAGATAAGCTCTCTAGATTTGTGTATAATTCTGGCCAGTATTATTTTCATAGATTTAGTTAGAGTGAGGTTTTCTGAGTATGATACACCTTGATCTCCAGTCAAATTGGTGAGTGTTATGATTAAGATATATTCTCCTTCTGTCATGTAAATGTGTGTATATATAATCCTTTTTTAATTTTTATATACAGTCCACAAATTTATATATTTACCAGCATTCCTGGTGATGTATAATTCATTTAATTAATAGGTCCAGAGCAACTTGTGGATATGACAATGGTAGGTATCGAAGGGGGACATTTTTTGCGACCTAGGTGTCCCAAATTCCTACTTGTCTAACTAATAAATAATAATTATCTATGTTCATTTACTGTTATGTATATAATGAAACATTCAGCTAGATGCAATTTTCCACATAACCGTTCTGAACCGTAATCGTCGTACAATGCATTTATTTCTAAAACTGTAAGTTATACTTACTATTTTGAAATCTGTTAGCTTTTAAAGAAATATTTAAAAGTCGCATATAAAATTGAGGGGCTCTTGATCCAAAAAATTGGACTTATCCTCTCATTGAAGAAACTAATTACTCTCATTCCCAGGCGCTGTATGGTCCTTGTGGATTTTGCTTTTCTAATTAAAATGGATTAAAAATACATTAACTATTATTTTTTTTATGCTTGCTGTTTGAAGTTAAACATGGATTCCTATCCACTAATATTTGTCAGGTTAAATTTTTCCATACAGTAAGTGTTTTAAAAATTTTTATATAAATATGAAATGTGCTTTTCAGCAGACTCCAGCTGAGCAAATGGAGAAGTCGTGTGCCACAGCCTACCATCCCACTACCGTGATAACATCACTAGTGCTGCGGGGATGCTCTCGCAACTTCACACTGCTCAAAATTTCCTCCAAAACATAAATTCCACAATGACTTCGAACGTGAAAGTGTCTGCAAGTGTTCAGGATGTCGGGTTTGAGTCTTACTTCGCACATCATACAGGAAAGGTTTACAACATACTGAAAAGTCTGAGTATGAATCCTATTCAGAGCATTCACAATATCGACACTACCAATTTGGATACCCAAGCGACGTTCTTCATTCATCTTCTGGATTTTGCTACGAGGTTCGAGCCTCCTATGTCTTCAGCCATTAAAAAGCAGCTAGACTCCTTGAATTCACTCCTTCCTGTCTGCATGTTGAAAGTGACTAAGGTAGTGAAGTGTCTCAACCTAGTGATGTTGAACAGAAATTCCTCGCAATATACCACAAGTACAACTTTTAGAGCATCGGGAGATAGAGCTCGCCGTCACACGTCTTCATCTGCTACTTCTACGTTCTTGGTCCAGGGTAGCAAAACTGATACAGCCTCTACGACTACACCCATGCCACGTTCAGGAGTGTCAGGATCATGGGTGGTGGGGAAAGTGGCTGGCTACAAGCTTGAAGATCTAACCCTCTACCACTCCATTCATTCACTCTCTACCAGTGATCCAGTTAAGTTTATTGGTATGTATTATGAACCAATACGTTGCTGCTAGTCTCCCAAGCACACTGTATGTTCTTAGTGATAATTGTAGTATTGATTTTCTTCCATTTATATCACTTATTAATGCAACTTAAAATTGTTCACATTTCAAGAATTTCAGTGCCTCAGAGAATCTGTGATTCTTCAAAATTTGGTTAATGAAGTTTTATCCAGTGAACATTTGACTTCAAAATTTAATAAGCTACAACTGTACCAAAGATGGTCATAAATATCTCCCACCCACATAACTCTCTGACAATAATAGTTTATTTACCCAAAGTAAATTTCTACTTTCCGCAAAGTATTAATTTTACGTTTCGTAAACATGTAATTTAACCTTAATGCTGCTAGGTGTCAGAAGTGGGTAACTATACATAACCAGCAAAAGTTGAAATTTGCAAGATATCACTCGTACGAGAATTAGTTGATATACCTGTGTAGACTCTCTCCTTTTTCTTTACTCAGTAACTCGCCTAGCCAGGGTGAAGAACCTGGTATTTGAGGCAGTGTTAGATGTGCCTCTGGTGAACACTGTGGAGTTGGCGCGCCTGCGTCACCACGCTCTCCTGCTCGACACGCAAACATTAACAGTTTCACTGTCATTTTCCCGGCCTGTTAACGTGAGTATCCTTCCTGCTTTGATCTTTCATAAGCTCTAATTGTGTGCCGGGAAAGGGATGGGGGCATGTGCACAGTGAGTGAAGTGTTACATGTGCACAGTGAGTGAAGTGTTACATGTGCACAGTGAGTGAAGTGTTACATGTGCACAGTGAGTGAAGTGTTACATGTGCACGTGAGTGAAGTGTTACATGTGCACAGCATGAAGTGTTGAGCTACGTAGCACGTGTACTGGGGTGTTACGCGTATAGTTTAATTAAAGCAGTTGTATTCTGTGATTTGGTGTTAATTTTACATAGCAGATGTCTGCTGTAAATTACGAAGTTTAAAAATAGTGGCATATTGATATTAAAATTCAGAAACTACCCATGATAACTTGTAAATTTATTCCAAAAGAACTCCAAAGATAATTTTGTCTACATTTGTGTTGCTGTCCAGACGCATGTGCATATTACCAATTAGATGCTCCAACGGCAGGCTTAATCTACATATTTGTTGATTCAGGTTGGTGGGGAGGTGGTGGTGACTGATATTACCAACCAAGTAGAAGCATCATCCTACGTCACTTTGAGTGGATCGTGTGTTTTTTCCCAGCTTGTCACCTTCACGGTCTGTTCATTTATTTTTTTTCTTCTAGACTCTTAAATATAGATGCCATTTTCACAGACGCAAAAATAATTCTTCAGCAGCCCTAAACTGGAAAAAATCTAAATTTTTCTTTCTCCTTTTAACTCGGAATTTGCCCATAGATTATTAAAATTTAAATTATTAGAAAGTGAAATAAAAATTGTTCATTTGCCGGGTTTTAATAATAAACTGAGCAATAATCTTTGTTACATGCCGAATGACGTAGAAGTTCAGGGGGAGGCGAGGGTACAATCTACAATAAATAGCATTGACTTGGTGACTCTAAGAGATAGTGCAGCTCTGACAACCTCAAGTGCCCAAGTGTTCCTCACCCACGTCACCTTCCTCGAAGTAGCTGCCTTCAGGTGAGCCCTCTCCCTAGCTACCTTCTGAACGCAAATCCCCCTTCAGGAGAGTACTTTCTCCTTCACCTTAACATGGACGTCCAAGGTGTTCCATGCAGATATTGACTGCTGGACTACCTTCAAGAACTGAAATTAATTATTCTGAACATCCCATTGACGCTGGATTGTTGAACCTGAGATAATTTTTATGATACGTAATTTTTCCTAGTGTTAGTTGTGTATCCTTGTGTATTGCTCAAATTGTACAGAATAAAATGTTTTGGTCACAGCGCTCTGAAAATTATGAAGCAGTGTCCGTAGTGTGGCTCTTTGTAGTCTCCGCCATCTTGGAACTTATGACATTGACATTGATCCTGGTGATAACAGCAGTTTTTTGTAGAGATAAATATTTTAATCAGTGACACAATGTATGTATTGGTATTCCAGGAACGCATTCTGATTACTGGAAAAAAGTTTGTATGAATTGTTTAAGGATAGTTTATTTAATGCCAGATTTTAGGCTGAACTCTTCACAATATATATATATATATATATATATATATATATAATATATATATATATATATATATATAATATATATATATATATATATATATATATATATATATATATATATATATATATATATATATATATATATATATATATATATATATATATATATATATAATATATATATTATGAAAAAGAGGATAAATAAATATACAAGGTATGATGTAGCACGTAATGAAAGTAGTTTGTTAGATTATGTATTGGTGGATAAAAGGTTGATGGGTAGGCTCCAGGATGTACATGTTTATTATGTATTGGTGGATAAAAGGTTGATGGGTAGGCTCCAGGATGTACATGTTTATAGAGGGGCAACTGATATATCGGACCATTATTTACTTGTAGCTACAGTTAGAGTAAGAGGTAGATGGGACAAGCGGAAGGTGGCAACAACAAGTAAGAGAGAGGTGAAAGTGTATAAACTAAGGGAGGAGGAAGTTCGGGTGAGATATAAGCGACTATTGGCAGAAAGGTGGGCTAGTGCAAAGATGAGTAGTGGGGGGGTTGAAGAGGGTTGGAATAGTTTTAAAAATGCAGTATTAGAATGTGGGGCAGAAGTTTGTGGTTATAGGAGGGTGGGGGCAGGAGGAAAGAGAAGTGATTGGTGGAATGATGAAGTAAAGGGTGTGATAAAAGAGAAAAAGTTAGCTTATGAGAGGTTTTTACAAAGCAGAAGTGTTATAAGAAGACCAGAGTATATGGAGAGTAAAAGAAAGGTGAAGAGAGTGGTGAGAGAGTGCAAAAGGAGAGCAGATGATAGAGTGGGAGAGGCACTGGCAAGAAATTTTAATGAAAATAAGAAAAAATTTTGGAGTGAGTTAAACAAGTTAAGAAAGCCTAGGGAAAGTATGGATTTGTCAGTTAAGAACAGAGTAGGGGAGTTAGTAGATGGGGAGAGGGAGGTAGATGGGGAGAATATTTTGAGGAACTTTTAAATGTTGAGGAAGAACGGGAGGCGGTAATTTCATGCACTGGCCAGGGAGGTATACCATCTTTTAGGAGTGACGAAGAGCAGAATGTAAGTGTGGGGGAGGTACGTGAGGCATTATGTAGAATGAAAGGAGGTAAAGCAGCTGGAGCTGATGGGATCATGACAGAAATGTTAAAAGCTGGGGGGGATATAGTGTTGGAGTGGTTGGTACTTTTGTTTAATAAATGTATGAAAGAGGGGAAGGTACCTAGGGATTGGCAGAGAGCATGTATAGTCCCTTTATATAAAGGGAAGGGGGACAAAAGAGATTGTAAAAATTATAGAGGAATAAGTTTACTGAGTATACCAGGAAAAGTGTACGGTAGGGTTATAATTGAAAGAATTAGAGGTAAGACAGAATGTAGGATTGCGGAGGAGCAAGGAGGCTTCAGAGTGGGTAGGGGATGTGTAGATCAAGTGTTTACATTGAAGCATATATGTGAACAGTATTTAGATAAGGGTAGGGAAGTTTTTATTGCATTTATGGATTTAGAAAAGGCATATGATAGAGTGGATAGGGGAGCAATGTGGCAGATGTTGCAAGTATATGGAATAGGTGGTAAGTTATTAAATGCTGTAAAGAGTTTTTATGAGGATAGTGAGGCTCAGGTTAGGGTGTGTAGAAGAGAGGGAGAATACTTCCCGGTAAAAGTAGGTCTTAGACAGGGATGTGTAATGTCACCATGGTTCTTTAATATATTTATAGATGGGGTTGTAAAAAAAGTAAATGCTAGGGTGTTCGGGAGAGGAGTGGGATTAAATTATGGGGGATCAAATTCAAAATGGGAAGTGACACAGTTACTTTTTGCTGATGATACTGTGCTTATGGGAGATTCTAAAGAAAAATTGCAACGGCTAGTGGATGAGTTTGGGAATGTGTGTAAAGGTAGAAAATTGAAAGTGAACATAGAAAAGAGTAAGGTGATGAGGGTATCAAATGATTTAGATAAAGAAAAATTGGATATCAAATTGGGGAGGAGGAGTATGGAAGAAGTGAATGTTTTCAGATACTTGGGAGTTGACGTGTCGGCGGATGGATTTATGAAGGATGAGGTTAATCATAGAATTGATGAGGGAAAAAAGGTGAGTGGTGCATTGAGGTATATGTGGAGTCAAAAAACGTTATCTATGGAGGCAAAGAAGGGAATGTATGAAAGTATAGTAGTACCAACACTCTTATATGGATGTGAAGCTTGGGTGGTAAATGCAGCAGCGAGGAGACGGTTGGAGGCAGTGGAGATGTCCTGTCTAAGGGCAATGTGTGGTGCAAATATTATGCAGAAAATTCGGAGTGTGGAAATTAGGAAAAGGTGTGGAGTTAATAAAAGTATTAGTCAGAGGGCAGAAGAGGGGTTGTTGAGGTGGTTTGGTCATATAGAGAGAATGGATCAAAGTAGAATGACATGGAGAGCATATAAATCTATAGGGGAAGGAAGGCGGGGTAGGGGTCGTCCTCGAAAGGGTTGGAGAGAGGGGGTAAAGGAGGTTTTGTGGGCGAGGGGCTTGGACTTCCAGCAAGTGTGCGTGAGCGTGTTAGATAGGAGTGAATGGAGACGAATGATACTTGGGACCTGACGATCTGTTGGAGTGTGAGCAGGGTAATATTTAGTGAAGGGATTCAGGGAAACCGGTATATTTCATATAGTCGGACTTGAGTCCTGGAAATGGGAAGTACAATGCCTGCACTTTAAAGGAGGGGTTTGGGATATTAGCAGTTTGGAGGGATATGTTGTGTATCTTTATACGTATATGCTTCTAAACTGTTGTATTCTGAGCACCTCTGCAAAAACAGTGATAATGTGTGAGTGAGGTGAAAGTGTTGAATGATGATGAAAGCATTTTCTTTTTGGGGATTTTCTTTCTTTTTTGGGTCACCCTGCCTCGGTGGGAGACGGCCGACTTGTTGAAATATATATATATATATATATATATATAATATATATAATATATATATATATATATATATATATATATATATATATATATATATATATATAAATAATATAATATATATATATATATATATATATATATATAAATATATATATATATATATATATATATTATATATAATATATATAATATATATATATATATATATATATATATATATAATATATATATATATATATATATATATATATATATATATATATATATATATATATATATATATATATATATAATATAATTTATATATATTATACATATATTTCAGGAGCATCAAACTCTGAAAGAATGTCTAGGTATGCTCCGAAAAGGGATTTTTTTTTAATCCTCTCTACGATAATTTAGTGCTTGTGGATAGGTTAACATATCATCGCTGGCATAACTTGGAAGGTTCTGAAAGTTCAGAGGCTGTGTAATTGCACATTTTGTATATGCAAATAGTTTAGCTATTTTTCGTGCCACAACATAAACTTCTGTTCTTAAGACTTCAACATTCTAATACCAATGTGTTCTAGATTTAGAAATTAACTTTTGACTAAGTGGTTAAGCTAAAATGCTAGCAAGTGATTAAAAAGCTAATATTTAATTATATATGTAGGAATGTTTGTACAGGTTAATATTTAATTATATATGTAGGAATGTTTGTACAGGTTTTAAAAAATAAGAGTAAATAGTTGACTAAAGCTTTTCCTTAAATGTTTAGCCATTGATAAACATTCGTAGAAAGTCCATTTATTTTGATCTAGGATGAACGTGTAGTAACTTGTGCAAATGACATTTTTTCTAATATTAACGTCCATATAAAGAAAGTTTGAACTAACAAAATTTAGTTCTAACGGTAGCTTAGTCAGGATAACTACACAAATGAATACAAACCTAAATGTTTATAAATAGTTTCAAACAGGTTTCAGACTACGGAAGACTGAAATACACCTTTCATCCAACAGCTTCTAAGCTTCTAACGTATCTTTACTAATCAGTGTTGTAGTAGTGGCTTTGATTTATATTCTATCGTAACTTTTAATACAACCTATTATCAGATGTTCATAAATATTAAAATTGTCTAGTATATAAACTGACAAAATATAGCAGAATTACAGAATTTGTAGATTGATGGTAGAAAGCTATGAAACTTGCAGGTTTTATTACAGGACGTTTTTGATGTCTTAAAATTTATAGGCAAGTAAGATTACTGCAACTAATATTACAACCATAATGTTCTTAGTGTGACGTTTGAGAGCGGTAGTGTGGCTGGTGTGCATGGGCATGTCATTTATCGCCTGTTCCAAGTCATTTGGCGTCAGGATAACATCGGATAGGCTTGTGTTAATCAAATTTTGTGGCTTTCTCATAAAAAAATCATTTTGATCTTCGACTCTCAGTCTGGTTAGCGGCTTGCTAAAAACTGAGTCATATTGGGACTTGAGTAGCTCACTCATTTCCTTGCTGTCATCTGTGTAGGACCCATCTTGTTTAAGTAGGGGCCCAATACTGGACGTTGTTCTCGACTTTGATTTGGCATAGGAGAAGA